ATGGCCTCTTAATAGTGATAGGGAATGTATTCTTTAACGAGGGGAGGAGCTCAAGGGCGGGTGAGAAGTAAACGTAGTGCAAGGACAAGAGAAAGTTGCGATAAAGTAGAAAAGAGTAGAATGGGTTAAACTTGAGGAGTTCGACTGCAATAAGTCGATTGCGCACCGTGGACGCACCGCACGCGTCGACTAAAGTTGTTATTAACGAGCTGTTCTAAATCCTGTCAACTTTTTGCACAACGTATACTTCTCACCCACCGCGGAGCTCCTCTCCTTGCTAAAGAATACATTCTCTATCACTATTAACATGCCATATCCGCGCTCCAGTGCGGTCACTGGGTACTCTGCCGCCTGGTTCGGAGACAGAGCAACGAGACGGAAGGGCGCTGGCACCCCTAATTATATTTTCACCCCTATTCCAATTCGACCTTCAATTCCGTTGAAGAGGGCGCTTTGATCTAACCTCCACGATAAGGCCGTTAACCATATCACGATGCCAATCTTTACCATCCCCCGCAGCCGCGAATCCAAATCGATGGGCTGCACGTTGGGCTGTTTCGCAAGGATGAAGTGGCCGGAAGAATTACTGTTTAGGAAAAGAGGCTTTCGGTAATGTAACAAAATCTGACGATCAGGGGACATATCTAGGATGAAACTTTGATACATTGCTCGAATAAAATTGGTTGTTTGTTAGTGACTTGAGCGAAAGAAGAAAGCAACTATCCCGTGATGTTATGGACAGCTATCGATATACGAACGATGGAACTACGTAATGTCGTTCGTTTTTGACAATCTAGTCGCAGTCAGACAAACATAGACCGAAAATAAATTGAAAAGGCGCGAACCACAGTTCAGCCGATACACTGAATCCCGGTCTCCTAATTAGAGTACAGGCCTAAATTGTAGGATATCACGTCGAAACTGTGTTATCCTACAGTACTATTTAGTATTCGTTCTTGAGACCTCCGATGTAATCATGGCCCTCATCTCTGGAAAACCCATTTTCATTCTGGCGGTAATGTCCAATACAGTATCCGGCAATCGATCTTCCCAAGCACTGGTTATTAGTGACCGATTTTGAAGGAACAAAGTCAAATGAGCGGAATGGCTTCGTGATATCGTCATTAGTTAAGCGAACATAAGGTATTTCACGGAACGATTAGTTTAGGTGTATTAGCCATCGCCGAGAATTGCCATCGATTGACTATTTGTAAACATGTTGTCGTTTTGTGTACTTTTCGAAGCTCTTTGCTCTTCACTTTTATTGGTGAGCTTTCGGCATATAATGCCTTCGTCAGACCTTAATTATTTACAATACATTGCTGCATACAATCTGTCACTATCAGTTACAATA